TGCGACATCACTCGCACAGTCGTCAACTTAACGACGGAAATGTGTCGCGCCCGCAGAAGATCACGAAAGCAGACCCGCTGTGCCTTCCGAGGTTCGCGACGAGGGTGGGGAGGCGGTGGTGGTGGTGGGGGGGGGCGCCTTGGTTAGCAAACGTCGCGAGGCAGCAAAATGCCGCCGCATTGGTCGTAGTGGATGCCCCCTGCAAGTTGCCGTCTGGATTCATCCCACGCTCACGGCCCTCTCGTGGCAGGGCTCCTCTGGGTCGTTGTTTTGGCGGCCTTAGGGTGCGGCAGGGTGGGGGAGAGGGGGCACGTGTCGTGAATTCCTTTGCGAAGAAAGGGAGCGGATATCGGTGCACCCTCTCCATCAGAGGCGTTGCGTCTCACGCGTGTGTCTATAATGTCTATGTAGCCAGCACTGTAACGGGTGTCTAATGTACGTCTATGTACCCAGCCACCGGAGCGGCTGTAGTGATGTCTATGTACGTGGAGCGTGTCGGTGACAACGTAAATTATATTTTATTAAAAAAAAAAACACAACACACACACACAGATTGAACGTAGAACATTAAAGTGTAGTTTTATGCAATGTAGTTAATCGCATTGGCACGCACAGTGCCACCCGGCGATTCTCGACAGTCGCTGGAAGTGCTTATTTGAAGTGCTGCCCTCCTCCCCCCGCGCTCTCAATCCCCTCACTAACCCCCCCCCCCCCATGCAAACCCCACGTGGCTCTTCCCTTTTCAAGCTGCCCCTACACCACCAACCACCACCGACGGAGTGTCTTGGCCATTCACTCATTTACTTACACAGCGGATTTTTAGTGCCTGCTTCTCCGTTCTAACGCCTCCCCTTCCTCCTCTTCTTCCTCCTTCCTCCTCCCTCCTCTTCTTCCTCCTTCCACCTCCTCTTCTTCCTCCTCGCTCCTCTTCTTCCTCCTTCCACCTCCTCTTCTTCCTCCTCGCTCCTCTTCTTCCTCCTTCCACCTCCTCTTCTTCCTCCTCCCTCCTCTTCTTCCTCCTTCCACCTCCTCTTCTTCCTCCTCGCTCCTCTTCTTCCTGCTCCTCCTTCGTTCCTCGTTTGCCGCCGGGGGGGGAATAACGCCTCGGCTCTTTCGTGTTTTTATTTTTTTTCATTTTCCCTTCACCCACCCACCCACCGGCGATTCAAAGATGCGAGAGCTCCGGGCAGGCAAGGCAGACAGGGCAGGCAGGCAAGGCAGACAGACAGGCAGACAGGGCAGGCAGACAGGGCAGGCAGGCAAGGCAGGCAGACAGGGCAGGCAGACAGGGCAGGCAGGCAAGGCAGGCAGACAGGGCAGGCAGACAGGGCAGGCAGGCAAGGCAGACAGGGCAGGCAGGCAGGCAAGGCAGACAAGGCAGGCAGACAGGGCAGGCAGACAGGGCAGGCAGACAGGGCAGGCAGGCAAGGCAGACAGGGCAGGCAGGCAGGCAAGGCAGACAAGGCAGGCAAGGCAGGCAATGCAGGCAAGGCAGGCAGACAGGGCAGGCAGACAGGGCAGGCAGGCAAGGCAGACAGACAGGCAGACAGGGCAGGCAGACAAGGCAGGCAGACAGGGCAGACAGACAGGGCAGGCAGGCAAGGCAGACAGGGCAGGCAGACAAGGCAGCTGGTGTGCTGATTTGTTACTGGCGTCTGCCGTTATGCAAGTAACACAAAATCATCCCTCCGTTTCGATTGCTGTCTCTCTCGCTCTCTCTGTCTCTCTCGCTCTCTCTGTCTCTCTTTCTCTTGAGAGCGTGGTGCCAACCCCCGGTGGTGGAGGTTTTGCCGCCTGTCGGGGTGATGTTTGTACGCGGAGATCGCCCCCTGAGCCCACTCTCTCTCTAAGCCGCGAGCTGCCCAGCCACTCAGCGAATCTCTCCTCACTCTCACCCACAGGTTCACCCTCACACACAGGTTCACCCAAACCTTCACCCTCACCCACAGCTACACCCTCACCCACAGGTTCACCCAAACCCTCACCCACAGCTACACCCTCACCCACAGGTCCACCCTCACCCACAGGTTCACCCAAACCCTCACTCTCACCCACAGGATCATCCAAACCCTCACCCACAGGTTCACCCAAACCCTCACCCACAGCTTCACCCTCACCCACGGGTCCACCCTCACCCACAGGTCCACCCTCACCCACAGGTCCACCCTCACCCACAGTGCCACCCTCACCCACAGGTCTACCCTCACCCCTCACCCACAGGTCCACCCTCACCCACAGGCCCACCCTCACCCACAGGTCCACCCTCACCCACAGTGCCACCCTCACCCACAGGTCTACCCTCACCCCTCACCCACAGGTCCACCCTGACCCCTCACCCACAGGCCCACCCTCACCCACAGGTCTACCCTCACCCCTCACCCACAGGTCCACCCTCACCCACAGGTCCACCCTCACCCACAGGTCCACCCTCACCCCTCACCCACAGGTCCACCATCACCCACAGGTCCACCATCACCCACAGTGCCACCCTCACCCACAGGTCCACCCTCACCCCTCACCCACAGGTCCACCATCACCCCCCGCAAGGACCCCCATGCTTTGGCCCTTCCGTTCCGCTCGCCCCACCGCTCGGCCCGAGCGTTTGGCGCAACCCCGAGGACCGCCGCGGGCGTCGCCCCTGGTTACTGCGTGGGGGGGGGCGGGGGTGAGGGGGGGCGGGGGGGGGGGGGGGGGGGGGGGGGCGGGGGGGGTTACAACTGGGGGAATATCCATGGAGGGGGAGGCAGGGAACGCATTAGCCGCGGAGGGAGCGGCGTCCGTGCGGGCCCGAGATGAGGATGGAGCGGAGGGGGAGGAGAAGGGAGGGAGCAAGAGGGAGGATGGAGTGGAACAGGGGTGGGAGGGTGAAGAGGGAGGGGAGGGGTGGAGGGAGGATGGAGTGGAATAGGGGTGGGAGGGTGAAGAGGGAGGGGAGGGGTGGAGGGAGGATGATGGAGGGTGAAGAGGGAGGGGAGGGGTGGAGGGAGGATGATGGAGGGTGGGAGGATGAAGAGGGAGGGAGCAGGAGGGACTAGAACGAATGGAGGATGGAGGGGAGTGGGAAGAGAGAGAGAGAGAGAGGAGGGAGGAGGATGGAGGGATGGAGGAAGGGGAGGAGGAGGAGGAGGCATCAGCGCTTTATCAGCTGCGTCGTCGCGGCCGCACGCGATGCAGATCGAGTGCCGCTCTCAGGGTGCGCCGCTTTTTCACGGTGCTCCTCGAATCCCGCGTTGGGGTTTTTTTTTCCGACCCAAATGCAGCAGGGGAATACGAAAGGATGAAGCTGAAGCGGCGGGGGGGAGGAGGGGGGGTGAAAGCAAATAAATAAATAAACACAACGGAGAGCGTTGCGTTTACTTGAAGCAGAGCCTCCCTGTTATTTTATTCATTCCGTCTGTTTTATTTATTTAAGGAATAAAAACAAATATAACAATATAAACACAAGCTCGCTAGCTCGCTCCCGTGTTTGTTTGTTTGTGCAGACTGGTGGAACGGATGCTGCGGCAATTTTCTCCAGCTGTCTCACCATCCCCCCCAACCCACACCCGACACTTTACGTTGAGTCCAAGTTGGTTTTGAAAGTAACAAAAATAAAAATAAATGTAGGCGATGAAGTATAACACGGAGCGGCGATACGGGGACAAAAAGTAAAACGTGAGAAATAATAATAGATTGCCTGTGCTGTTGATGATTATGATGCTGTTGATGATGATGACGATGGTCGTGGCGATGGTGGTGGTGGTGGAGGAGGAGGCTCGTGAAGGACGCTGCTGCTGGGCAGTTGGAGGCAGCCGTCCCTCCAGCAACAACAACGGAGGGCAGAGGAGCGACGCTCGTGGCAACGAGCGGAGCGCCGGGCGGCTAAAACGTAGCGAGTTGGCACAGTGATGGGGCACAGCTGGGGGTGGTGTTATCTACCAGTGGTTATCTCAGCCAATCCATGTTACCTCCTCCTGCCAGCGGCGAGCCTTCGATACTTCTCATGTGATAGCCTCAAAGTGCACCTGGCCTGGCACAGGAGCGTAGTGGTGACGTCACCGTCACTTAGTGGCGAATTTCGGGTCTTGGTGGTGATGGTGGTGGTGGTGATGGTGGTGGTGATGGTGTCGTCTCGTCAACACACCGACGATGTCCCGTCTATTTTTTCGCCTCCCCACTCCTCTCACCCCTGCGTGGGTGCGTGCGTGCGTGGGTGCGTGCGTGGGTGCGTGCGTGGGTGCGTGTGTGGGTGGGTGCGTGGGTGCGTGGGTGCGTGTGTAATCACAGAACTTTGTCGGGTGGGGAGCACGGGAGGGTTGGTGGTTGTTTGGTGGATCGATCCGAGTCGGTCACAGGCGTGCGAGCGTGCGGGGAGCGGCGGTGCAGCCGTTTACGTGGGTGCCGCTGCTCCGCTAACTGCGCTTGCTGTTAGCGGTGTAGGCTGTACGGGGTGGGGGGTGCGGTCGGGGGGGAAGGGCAATGGATCTTTGTCTTCGGAGTAGCGGGTTAGAGATTCCGCCGCGCTACGAACACGGCGGCCCGAGTTCGATTCCCCGCTCACGGCCACCCAATACCCGTGATCATTTTTCTGAACCGGTCCCGGGCCTTCCCCCCCCCCCCTTCTCCACCTCCTCCCCCCCCCCCCCCCCCCCCCCCCCCCCACTTTAGGTAGACTCAGCCTCAAATGAGTGTCCGGTGCGGTGTGTAGTAAACATCGCCATTAGGGGAGACAAAGGCGGCCGGGCGTGGAGCTGGCCACCCAACCCCCCTCGTGCGCCGTGTTGGGCCCTCTTAGTTGCTCGCGAATAGCACTTGCCCCGAGAAGCAAGCTGAGGCTACACGGGGGAACCTTTATCTTTGTGTGTGCGCGCGCGTCTGTGCTGGCCAACCCCCACCGCCACCTGTTCTGTGCCGGCCTCCCCAGGCGCTGCTGCTTGCTTACGACAGCACTTGCCCCCGAAAAAGTGTGCGCGAGGCCACGCGGGTGACCTTTGCCTTTGTGTGTCCATGCTGACCCGCAGCGCCCGCGCGCTTCCTGCGAACGCCGGCCGACCAGGTGGGAGTGTCGGGCGGCGTGGCCTCCTTCGTTTGCCAGGCCACCGGCGACCCGCAGCCCAACATCACCTGGGCCAAGAAGGGCAAACGGTTGACGTCCCAGCGCTTCGAGGTGAGCGTCGCCCACACCAACACGGCACGGTGGCTCGGAGATGTTGACTACCTCGCCTGGTGTACAGGAGGTTCGTGGGTTCGATCCCGACCCTGACGATGCCTGCTGCTGTATTTGTGGAGTTTGCGTGTCTCTCTCTCTCTCTCTCTTATCATCATCGCCACGGTGGCTCGGAGATGTTGACTGCCTCACCTGGTGTACAGGAGGTTCATGGGATCGATCCCGACCCTGACAATGCCTGCTGCTGTATGTGTGGAGTTTGCGTGTCTCTCTCTCTTATCATCATCGCCACGGTGGCTCGGAGATGTTGACTGCCTCGCCTGGTGTACAGGAGGTTCGTGTGATCGATCCCGACCCTGACAATGCCTGCTGCTGTATTTGTGGAGTTTGCGTGTCTCTCTCTCTCTCTCTTATCATCATCGCCACGGTGGCTCGGAGATGTTGACTGCCTCGCCTGGTGTACAGGAGGTTCGTGGGATCGATCCCGATCCTGACGATGCCTGCTGCTGTTGTGTATTTGGAGTTTGCGTGTCTCTCTCTCTCTCTTTCCCTCCCCGTGGTCGTGTGGATTTTTCTCCGGGTCACTCCGGTTTTTCCTCCCTCCGCGTTTTTAGAATCGACGTCACGCGGTTAGAGAGTTATTTGGCTGCCGCTATGAATCTCCACGTGATGATGATGACGATGATGACGATGATAAGCCCACTTTGTTGGAGCTATCATTTGTGATGGCCAGGGATCGCTTCTGAACAAAAAAAGCCACGTAGCTCAGTGGGTCCTTTACCTGGTGCAATAAAAACAAAGTTTAGTAAAAAAAAATGTTTTAAAAGAAATCACCACCCCTCGCTGCAAGCTCACAGGTCGGATGCTGAGTCACGTGGTGAGAGCTTCCACCGACTCTGCCCCTAGGCTCGCTCACACAGCAATCATCAACCCCTACAGGCAGACGCATACCCCGCTGGCAGGCCAGTCGCCTTACACTGCTGCCTGTACGAGCAAGGTTGGCTACGTACGGTGCGAAAGAAGTTCATACATACATACACCTCCTTCACTTTCCCCTACGTAGCTCCAGTGAGGGAAAAAAGTATTTGATTCCCTGCTGATTTTGTACGTTTGCCCACTGACAAAGAAATGATCAGTCTATAATTTTAATGGTAGGTTTATTTGAACAGTGAGAGACAGAATAACAACAAAAACATCCTGAAAAACGCATGTCAAAAATGGTATAAATTGATTTGCATTTTAATGAGGGAAATAAGTATTTGACCCCTCTGCAAAACATGACTTAGTACTTGGTGGCAAAACCCTTGTTGGGAATCACAGAGGTCAGACGTTTCTTGTAGTTGGCCACTAGGTTTGCACTCATCTCAGGAGGGATTTTGTCCAGATCTTCTCCAAGTCATTACGGTTTCGAGGCTGACGTTTGGCAACTCGAACCTTCAGCTCCCTCCACAGATTTTCTATGGGATTAAGGTCTGGAGCCTGGCTAGGCCACTCCAGGACCTTAATGTGCTTCTTCTTGAGCCACACCTTTGTTGCCTTGGCCGTGTGTTTTGGGTCATTGTCATGCTGGAATACCCATCCACGACCCATTTTCAATGCCCTGGCTGAGGGAAGGAGGTTCTCACCCAATATTTGACGGTACATGGCCCCGTTCATCATCCCTTTGATGCGGTGAAGTTGTCCTGTCCCCTTAGCAGAAAAACACCCCCAAAGCATAATGTTTCCACCTCCATGTTTAACGGTGGAGATGGTGTTCTTGGGGTCATGGGCAGCATTCCTCCTCCTCCAAACACGGCGAGTTGAGTTGATGCCAAAGAGCTCCATTTTGGTCTCATCTGACCACAACACTTTCACCCAGTTGTCCTCTGAATCATTCAGATGTTCATTGGCAAACTTCAGACGGGCATGTATATGTGCTTTTTTAATTTATTCACGATGTACTTACAAAAAAATCCGCAGACTACCTGCTGGATCTCCTCTCTGTTTCAAAGAACAAATTTGACCTCAGGTCTTCGCTCATCTACCAGCTTCACATTCCCTATTGCCATACAAAAAACGGAGGAAGGGCCTTTGCTATTGATGCCCCCAGGGTCTGGAATGCTATTGCCAATAAACTGCAACTTGAATCACTACCTATGAGATCTTCACTCAAAACTGCTCTAGAGGCGTTGTACACCCCTAGCTGCCACTGCTATTCAGTGGCCTAAAATAAAATAAAATGTTTCGCTCCGGATGACCGCTGCAAAGTATTATCTGTATTTTGATTTAGTGTGCTGATCTTAAAGGTGCATTGAAAAATATGATACTCCGACTGATGCTCCTGTTGTTTGTGGAGTGACTTATGCAGCCAGCTGTGGCTCTAGGGTTTGGTGTTACATGTCATTTATGTAGTTTATTGTTAAAAATTCGGTCACAGTTCCTATGATCACTGTTACATTGCATTTATGGCTTTATTTTGGTGATTTCTAAAAGTTTTTTGGTTTGGCCATATTTTTGTTTATTGTAGTATGGAGTTAGACTGATGGCCTTAATCTAAGTTTTCTTGTTGTTGTTTGACTTGCATCCCACTGGGATTTTTGCACACAGCGTTGGTGTACGGTGCTATTTCAGGAATATTTTGATGTTTTTTCCTGGATTTTCTGTTTGCACATGCAAAGTCACTTTAAGATGTTTTCTTGTTCATGTTTTTTGTTTTTTTGTTTGTTGCGGTTGCACCCGATTCAAGAGCCGAATGGCTCACAGGGCTATACCAAATAAATTAAACTAAACTAAACTTGAGCAGGGGGACCTTGCGGGCGCTGCAGGATTTCAGTCCTTCACGGCGTAGTGTGTTACCAATTGTTTTCTTGGTGACTATGGTCCCAGCTGCCTTGAGATCATTGACAAGATCCTCCCGTGTAGTTCTGGGCTGATTCCTCATCGTTCTCATGATCATTGCAACTCCACGAGGTGAGATGTTGCATGGAGCCCCAGGCTGAGGGAGATTGACAGTTCTTTTAGGAGCACTCTCTTTAAGAGTGTGCTCCTAATCTCAGCTCGTTACCTGTATAAAAGACACCTGGGAGCCAGAAATATTTCTGATTGAGAGGGGGTCAAATACTTATTTCCCTCATTAAAATGCAAATCAATTAATAACATTTTTGACATGCGTTTTTCTGGATTTTGTTGTTGTTATTTTGCCTCTCACTGTTCAAACAAACCTACCATTGAAATTATAGACTGATCATTTCTTCGTCAGTGGGCAAATGTACAGAATCAGCAGGGGATCAAATACTTTTTTTCCCTCATTGTACTCCACCACCACCACTTTTAAATAAAATTACAAACCTCCACTCTTAATTATCTCAACTACTATCATCTTCCATGCATTTTTATAGATCTAGTTCATAAAGCCAGCTGTCCTGGACTACACCAAGACAACAACAGTCCCAGACCACACCAAGACAACAACAACAACAGTCCCAGACCACATCAAGACAACAACAACAACAACAGTCCCAGACCACACCAAGACAACAACAACAACAACAACAGTCCCAGACCACACCAAGACAACAACAACAACAACAACAGTCCCAGACCACACCAAGACAACAACAACAACAGTCCCAGACCACACCAAGACAACAACAACAGTCTCAGACCACACACCAAGACAACAACAGACCACACCAAGACAACAACAACAGTCCCAGACCACACCAAGACAACAACAGTCCCAGACCACACCAAGACAACAACAACAGTCCCAGACCACACCAAGACAACAACAGACCACACCAAGACAACAACAACAACAGTCCCAGACCACACCAAGACAACAACAGACCACACCAAGACAACAACAACAGTCCCAGACCACCCCAAGACAACAACAGACCACACCAAGACAACAACAGACCACACCAAGACAACAACAACAGTCTCAGACCACACCAAGACAACAACAACAGTCCCAGACCACACCAAGACAACAACAGACCACACCAAGACAATAACAGTCTCAGACCACACACCAACACAACAGCAACAGTCCCAGACCACACCAAGACAACAACAACAACAACAGTCCCAGACCACACCAAGACAACAACAACAGTCCCAGACCACACCAAGACAACAGCAACAGTTCCAGACCACACCAAGACAACAACAGACCACACCAAGACAACAACAACAGTCCCAGACCACACCAAGACAACAACAACAACAGTCCCAGACCACACCAAGACAACAACAACAGTCCCAGACCACACCAAGACAACAACAACAACAGTCCCAGACCACACCAAGACAACAACAGTCCCAGACCACACCAAGACAACAACAACAACAGTCCCAGACCACACCAAGACAACAACAGACCACACCAAGACAACAACAACAACAGTCCCAGACCACACCAAGACAACGACAACAGTCCCAGACCACACCAAGACAACAACAACAACAACAACAGACCACACCAAGACAACACCAACAACAGATCACACCAAGACAACAACAACAGTCCCAGACCACACCAAGACAACAACAACAACAATAACAACAACAACAACAGACCACAATAAGAAAACAACAGACCACACCAAGACAACAACAGCCCCAGACCACACCAAGACCACAACAGACCACACCAAGACAACAACAACAGTCCCAGACCACACCAAGACAACAACAACAGTCCCAGACCACACCAAGACCACAACAACAGCCCCAAACCACACCAAGACAACAACAACAACAGTCCCAGACCACACCAAGACCACAACAACAGCCCCAGACCACACCAAGACAACAACAACAACAACAACAACAGTCCCAGACCACGCCAAGACAACAACAACAGTCCCAGACCACACCAAGACCACAACAACAGCCCCAGACCACACCAAGACAACAACAACAGTCCCAGACCACACCAAGACAACAACAACAGACCACACCAAGACAACAACAGTCCCAGACCACACCAAGACAACAACAACAGACCACACCAAGACAACAACAACAACAACGACAGTCCCAGACCACACCCAAACAACAACAGCCCCAGATCACACCAAGACAACAACAACAGCCTCAGACCACCACCAAGACAACAACAACAGTCCCAGACCACACCAAGACAACAACAACAGACCACACCAAGACAACAACAACAGTCCCAGACCACACCAAAACAACAACAGTCCCAGACCACACCAAGACAACAACAACAGTCCCAGACCACACCAAGACAACAACAGTCCCAGACCACACCAAGACAACAACAACAGACCACACCAAAACAACAACAACAACAACAGTCCCAGACCACACCAAGACAACAACAACAGTCCCAGACCACACCAAGACCACAACAACAGTCCCAGACCGCACCAAGACAACAAGAACAACAACAACAGTCCCAGACCACACCAAGACAACAACAACAGTCCCAGACCACACCAAGACAACAACAGACCACACCAAGACAACAACAACAGTCCCAGACCACACCAAGACGACAACAACAGTCCCAGACCACACCAAGACAACAACAACAGTCCCAGACCACACCAAGACAACAATAACAACAGACCACACTAAGACAACAACAGACCACACCAAGACAACAACAACAGTCCCAGACCACACCAAGACAACAATAACAACAACAGACCACACTAAGACAACAACAGACCACACCAAGACAACAACAGACCACACCAAGACAACAACAGACCACACCAAGACAACAACAGTCCCAGACCACACCAAGACAACAACAACAACAACAGTCCCAGACCACACCAAGACAACAATAACAACAACAGACCACACTAAGACAACAACAGACCACACCAAGACAACAACAATAGACCACACCAAGACAACAACAACAACAACAGACCACACTAAGACAACAACAACAACAACACACCACACCAAGACAACAACAGTCCCAGACCACACCAAGACAACAACAACAACAGTCCCAGACCACACCAAGACAACAATAACAACAACAGACCACACCAAGACAACAACAACAATAGACCACACCAAGACAACAACAATAGACCACACCAAGACAACAACAACAGACCACACTAAGACAACAACAGATTATTTCAGAGGTTATTGCCCTAATTTGGAACCCTGGCAGGTAAATCGGGGCGGTTAATATCACAACAACAACAACAATGATTATAAACAGCGAGAGTTATTAGTGCCATTCCGGCCTCTCACCCCCTAGCCCCCCGCTCCGACTCTCGCTGTGCGCGTGTGTCTTGTGCCTCGCGTCATATTTCATTTCTAAATTAAAAATACGTCGGCGACAAACCCTTTTAACACAATGCAAATTAATGCGTCGTGTAAACAGACCTTGGCCCCCTACGCCTGCAATAATTTCTAGCTTTAACAATTTATGTTTTTAACGTTTTTATATTCATTTTTTTTAAATAGCTCTCTTTCTCTCTCTGTGTGCGGTAGTAATTTGCTAATGCGCTACAGGTGGTGGCGGTGGTTCAGGATAGAGCACCGTTTGCTTTAATCACCCCCGTCACTCCACCCTGTACACCTTACTCACCTCACCCTATCGCACCCGATCTCACCACACCTCACCCACCCATGCCACCTCACTCCAACTCACCCCACTTCACTCCACCTCACTCCACCTTACCCAACTCACCCACCCATGCCACCTCACCCTACCTCACCCCACCTTACCAACCTCACCACCTCACCCCACTTCACCCCACCTCACCTCACCCCACCTCACCCCACCTCACCCCACCTTACCCACCTCACCACCTCACCCCACTTCACCCCACCTCACCTCACCCCACCTCACCCACCCATGCCACCTCACCCCACCTCACCCTACCTCACCCCACCGTACCCACCTCACCCACCTCACCCCACGTCACCCCACCTCACCCCACCTCACCCACCCAACCTCCCCTCACCCAACCCCACTCTGCTTCACGCCGCCTGTTCCCCGAGCGTTTAATGAGATTCCCACATCCTCACGGCCACCTGCTGGAGCTTTGGCAAATATCCTGGAAAATATTTTTAAAATTTTTTTTTTATAGAATCACGCGTAATTGGCGACTTCTGTACATTGCCACGCGACTATTAAGACCACTTCGTTGTAGCCGTCATTTTGTGGTAGGCCAGTTCGCTTCTGAGAAAGGGGCCGTGTATAGCTCGGTGGGCCTTAGCTGGTGACACTGCAAATGAAAGCGCTCCACAACTCCCTGGGCGGGCGCCTCATGAGGCTCGCTGTTGCTGCCTTCGTCGTCGTCGTCGTAAGTTACCGGCGAAGCGTCGCACGGTACCCGAATTGCAAACGCCGCTGTGGGTTTTTATTTTACCCTCCGACACACGACGACCGGTTAGTGGCTGGGCCGGTGACGAATCGGCCACCTTTTTTCATTACCACGCGACCAACCCCTCCCTCGCTTGCTTGGCCGCGTCGGGCGGCGGCGGCTTTTTTTTTAACGGCGCACGTTCATATCCACGCCGATCCAAACCCAACAAACAAAAACACGCGCCCGTCATTTCATGGAAGCAAACGTAAAATGCCGTCGCGATGCGGCGGGTAATTTCATTTCTTTCCGCACTGCTCTTTTTGTGCTTACCCTGTCACCACCTCGACCCCCCCCACCACCTCGACCACCTCGACCCCCACCACTCTCACCTTGCCAGGTGATCGAGTTCGACGGCGGAGCGGGCTCGGTGCTGCGGGTGCAGCCCCTGCGCACCGTGCGCGACGAGGGCTCCTACGAATGCATCGCCTACAACAACCTGGGGCAGATCCCGGCCGCCGCCAAACTCACCGTGCTGCGCGGTGAGCCAGTGGCCCCCTCGCCCGCTTGCCCACACCACCACCACCACCACCTGCGGGTGGCCAACGTGCGGCAGCGGTGGGGTGGGACGACACGCGCGCACGCACACACAAAGATTTCCCCCCCCCCCGTACACCCAGAATAGCAATGACCTGGCCAACCACCACCCTCTCCCCCCCACCAAAGAAAATCCTTCCCTCGCCCCCACCACACCGCCTGCCTGCTCCGATGAGTCCGATGTGCCAGTCGATGCAGCTGGTCATGCCGTCCGGGAATGTCAAGACGTTAACAAATGCACGCACACACGCACAGATCAACAACAACCGCCATTCGCCACTGAGTGACGGGGACGTCACCACGGCGCTTGTGCCAGGCTATGTGCACCTTAAGGCCACGTGAAGTGTCGAATGTCCGCTGGCAGGAGGTCACGGGGCAGACCCAGCATGTGCCGTGGGTTGACCGACTGGTCAATGCACCGCCTGCTCTCCCTACTGTGCCAACTCGCTGTGTTTTATCCACCCGGCACTCCACTCGTTGCTGTTTGCGTCGCTCCTCTGCCCTCCGTTGTTGCTGGAGGGCAACGCACACACAAGCAAACACACAGCGGTGGCGGTGGAGGAGGTGGCGGTGGCCGGGGCCAGCGGAGCAAGTAGGTTTCTACACCGGGGCAGGTAGGGATCGAACCCGTGACTTCCTGCATACCAGGCGAGGTAGTTAACATCTCCTAGCCACCGGGGCGCCCCTAATGACCCAATACAGTGCACCACGTGTGTGATGTGATTACGCTGCCAACGGCAAAGACAAACGCCTCGGCAACTCACGATATTTCGCGCGAATTACGCGAATTCGTATTATGTTTAATTTGTTTTCTCTAAATGTACTGTTTTTACACATAAATATCCTGCGGATTGTTTTTAATAGCCACGGGGAGGGGGAGGATGATGATGATGATGATGAGATCGATGCCATTGCCGTCGAGACTCCCGGGCCAGTCTGGGCTGGGTTGGCAAGCCTCTCGTGGGACAGCTGATTCCCTTTACATCATCATCATCATCTTCTTACCCTGGCGGTGGCGAGAAGCCCTTCCTGGGCGTGTGCGAGACGTGGCCAGATGTTCTTTTATTTTTTGTCGAAGGTAAATCATCCGAGCACGGGACGCGTGAGCTGCAACTTAACTTGCTTCATCAAACCCTGCGTGTTTATTAACGCTGTAACGTGTGTGTGTGTTTTTTTTAGCGTTTGAGAACCAAAAGGGGGTGCAAGGCAGCAGTTTAAGGTTATAGAGCGTGGGGAGGGGGGGGGGCTCGCTCCCCCACCGCGCCACCTCCTCTGTCTCTCTCTCTCTCTCTCTGGAGCTGCCTCTATCGGAGGCTCCTTTCCGTCAGCAGTGGAGTGAACAAAGCAGTTGCAGGCACTGCGGCCTTTACATCCCCGGCTATCTCGGAGGGGCGGGGGGGTGTACGACGTTGGGACTCGCGCGCGCGCCTTGAGTCTGTGTTCGTGTGTGGGTTTGTTTTACCAAGCCGAGAGTGATCCGAAGGGGTTCCAAGGCCGCGGTCCTAGCAGCGGGGAGTGGGGGGGGGCCGGGCCCCCCTTCTCGAGTGTGGCGCCTAAAGTCCGAAACTCTCTTCCGCCCCCGCCCGCCCGCCCACCCGCGCTCAGAGGCTTTGGCGACCAATACAGTATCATCCGTACCGCAGGTTGTTTTGGGTTAGATGGCTTAAATGTATAAATGTGTCGTTAAACCCGCCGCGACCCGGCGCAGATTGACAAATCTGGCCTCCGCCTGATGAAGCTGGTTGTAATTACTGGCGAGACGTCGTACTCAGATTGTAAATGTTGTGGCTTTGCACTGCGACGGAGCGGTGTGCTGCTATGCTGGTAACGAATTGTAAAGTTCTGTTTACGTGACAAACCTCACTAATTGGCTGTGTCAGGTCGTGGCGGGTTTAACGACGCATTTATATATTTACGCGATCAAACCCAAAATAAAACATGTATTATGGAAGTTCAGGAAACTCTGCAAGACTCATTATTTTTCCTTTTAGCTTTTCCCTTATTTTGATATATATTTTATGAGAGTCTAGATTTTAAAAAAGGTAGGGCTACCTGCACTCAATTGAAACTGTGGGGAGCGAGTTTCTTTTTTACTGAAAAAATAAATTGAAGCGATAAATTCATTTTCATTTTTGTAGGTTTTTTTTACCGAAACAACCAAGAATATGAATTCCTGCAGTCACGAAAGTTTCAAGTCAAAATTCAAGCACCACGTTCGCCGATCACGTTGCCTTGAAAAGGGAAAAAAGAAGAGGGGTAGGTGACGTTTCACGCAATGGCCCTTCTGCAGAGGACAGAGAGAGAGGGCCACTCTACTACCTCGATGGCTTCTCTTTCTCTGTGCGTGTGTGTGTGCTCTGAAGAAGGGCGATTACCCGAAACGTCGCCCGTTGTATCGTTTCCCTACGAAGGGCCGCACTCACACACGGCGGTGGTGGTGGTGCTGTCATTATTGACGGATGTGCTCAATTTGTTGTTGTTTTGTGCATCACGGCCAACGCTTGCAGCAGCAGCAGCATCGCCGCCACCACCACCACCAGATATATATAATGTGCGTGCGTGCGTGTGTGTGCGCGTGATTTCTCACGGTTGCCGCTGGGCTTCAAAAATGCGATTTGAATTCTGATGGCACGGACGGGCTTGCTCCATCGTCGCTCATAATGTGCTGTTACGGATGCAGGAAAGTTGTTTTTTTACTTTGAATATCTTTTATTTTTTGCTCGCACGAAGCCCGAGCCTAACTCGATTTGCGCTAGCCCCACGCCGGGAGATGGCCCTCCACGTGGGTGTCGTTGCATCGTGTGCTTCTTTCGTCGCGATTTTTCAATGGTGACAATTTGCATCTCGGGGAAGGAAAGTGGAAAGGCAAAAAAACCACGAAAATATCGGGAAATTATGCCACGGTGGCTAGGAGATGTTGACTACCTCGCCTGGTATACAGGAGGTCGTCGTGGGTTCGATCCTTGACCCTGACGACGCCTGCTGTATATTTGGAGTTTGCGTCTCTCTGTCTTTCTCATCATCATCACGGTGGCTAGGGGACGTTAACTACCTCACCCGGTATACGGGAGGTCGTCGTGGGTTCCATCGGAGGTCAATCACGATCGGCGTGGCGCTCTCTCACGCTCGCGATCAGCGCCGCCTCTCCTTCTTCTTATCCTGGAAAGACATCGCTCGCTTGCACGCTCTCTCATCCCGCTCGCACGCTCCCCGCCATGCATTATTTAACAAACTCTAAATGAATTAACAAGCCGCCTTTCGATCCAGCTACTGCGCCTGAAGGTGAACTCTAGGCGAGCGGCAAACGAATGTCACTCTTGGCTCACACACACCCCGCCACCTTCCCTGAAACCTCCACCACCCCCACCTCCACCCCCACCACATTCACCCCATCACCTCCACCCCGCCACCTTCCCCCCACCTCCACTCCACCCACCCCCCCCCCCCACCTCCACCCCACCACCACCCACCAGCCCTATCCCGCTGCATCCCTCGCCCACCCCCAGAAAACACAAAGATCTCCCGTGTAGCCTTAACACACTCTTGGGGCAAGTGCGGTGAGCGAGTGAAACACCTACGAAGGAGGTATTCAGGAGGTCCGTTGGTTCGACCCTGACGCTGTATATTTGTAGTTTGCGGTGTCTCTCTCTCTCTCTCCTCACGTGGTGGTCGCGTGGATTTTTCTCCGGGTCACTCCGCTTTCCCCCCCCCCTACGTTTAGAATCAACGTCACGGCGTTGATTCTAAATGGCTCGTGCCGTAAATGTTCACGTGATGATAATGATGATGATCATGATGACAAGCCCACTTCGTCGACTTATCAATTGCGATGGCCTGGTCGCTTCTAAATGAGAGCTATTTAGCTCAGCGGGCCTTACCTGGTAAAATAAATAAATAAGTTTATCTTATTTATAACTCGCACGTAATCTGAATAAATCAAATCACACGCTCTGTGCAGACCGCGTGATGGATGCGGGTAATCCGCGCTGCTCGCTTATTGATTGGCCGGCGGGAGTCGAAAGCCGAGTTTGCTCTTGACAATCCTCTGCTCTCTCTTTCCTCTCTTCGTCTCTCTCTCTCTTTCCTCTCTACAAACCACGTGGCTTGCTGGAATCCACGTGGTTTGCCTGCAATCCACGTGGTTTGCCTGCAATCCACGTGGTTTTCCTGCAATCCACGAGGTTTGCCTGCAATCCACGAGGTTTGCTTGCAATCCACGTGGTTTGCCTGCAATCCACGAGGTTTTCCTGCAATCCACGTGGTTTGCCTGCAATCCACGTGGTTTTCCTGTAATCCACGTGGTTTGCCTGCAATCCACGAGGTTTTCCTGCAATCCACGTAGTTTTCCTGCAATCCACGTGGTTTTCCTGTAATCCACGTGGTTTGCCTGCAATCCACGAGGTTTGCCTGCAATCCACGTGGTTGGCCTGCAATCCACGAGGTTTTCCTGCAATCCACGAGGTTTGCCTGCAATCCACGAGGTTTGCCTGCAATCCACGTGGTTTGCCTGCAATCCATGAGGTTTGCCTGCAATCCACGAGGTTTGCCTGCAATCCACGTAGTTTTCCTGCAATCCACGAGGTTTGCCTGCAATCCACGTGGTTTTCCTGCAATCCACGTGGTTTTCCTGCAATCCACGAGGTTTGACTGCAATCCACGTGGTTTTCCTGCAATCCACGAGGTTTGCCTGTAATCCACGTGGTTTTCCTGCAATCCACGTGGTTTGCCTGCAATCCACGTAGTTTTCCTGCAATCCACGTGGTTTTCCTGCAATCCACGTGGTTTGCCTGCAATCCACGTGGTTGGCCTGCGATCCACGAGGTTTTCCTGCAATCCACGAGGTTTGCCTGCAATCCACGAGGTTTTCCTGCAATCCACGTGGTTTGCCTGCAATCCACGTGGTTTGCCTGCAATCCACGTGGTTTGCCTGCAATCCACGAGGTTT